AGTTAAGTTTTTTAAGAGATGCGATACTCTAAAAAAGATAAGAGAGATAATTATTTCTAAGAGAGAGAGAGAGAGAGAGAGAGAAAGCAGAACACAAAGGGATGTTACAGCCCCACCAACAGACGTATAATCCTAGTTTTGCATGAATATCCATTACCCACTGTCTGTTTTCCACGAACCATATTTGAACATAACAGCCAAACCTCATTTTAGAAAAGCTTATCGCTGATCAGTGCATTCAAACGGCCCACCTAATGACAATAGGTTTATCCCTGATCAATCACTATTCATTTCATAAGCCATAAGTATTGACAGGAACAGCGATGCATTAACGGGTTGGATGCAGTTTCAAGAGCTTGATCGATCTCATGGCGTATCATCTTCTCAATTTGAAAATGAAGGAACAGAGCGTCGGTTCAGTTTATGTAGTACATGTGTCAATTTCGAGTACTATGTGTTTTGAATCGAGGCGTATCATACGTTTTATCTTGTAATATTATGTACGTTAAAGGAAGCGCATGCCTTGGCAAAAAGGTGTGACCAGACACCGGACAAACGTTAACACGTATGCATATAAACAGAAATAGAAAGAAACAACAACTTTGGTTGTAGCTGGAAGGAAGTGGGTTGCGGTGCATGCCCAGTAAATGTAAGACAACCAATTAAGCATCTAAACCAGTGTACTTGTAGTCAATTGATTATATGGCGTGGACTGAAAACATTATGTCACACCACTGCACGTTTCTATTCATCAAACGACTTCCCAAAGGAATCGGATTTTACCGGCTCCCAAATTAAACGAATATTTTTCAAATAGGTCAATTGTCTTACGCCAGATTATCCCGGCAGCAGTACCGCTGGTGCCTTTTGCAGTGCGTCACAAACAGTGTGTGTCGGGTGTTTTTTTTTTTTTTTTTTTTTGGGGGGGGGAGAGGGGAGAAACTACTTGTAGACAGGGACCGTTTAAAAAGAGGAGTTATTATCAGTTTCAACCACTTTACGTTATTTGAACCACTTTGACTTCAACATGTCTTGCAACATTATGATACACACTACATCGTGTGCGGATTGACTTTGCCAAGTCTGAATAAGTTTCTGTAGAGGCACTTTTCTTTAATGTAACTCCACTATGTTGATTTAGAAGTACATTCGGACTATTGATAGTGTTGAGGTTTTTAAAAAAGACTTAAAAACATTCTTATTTGAACAGTATTGTAATTAATATTTTCTCATTTTATCAGAAAAAAGTTTTATTGTTCAGACCATTACTATTTTAACCAGCTTTAATTATTTTAATTGTTTTTTACCTTAGCTTTTATTATCTATATAATTAGTTGTAATCATAATAATTTTATCTGTAAACAGCACTGAGACGGTAGTGTAGTGCGGTTTTAAGAAATAAATATTATTACTATTAATACATGTAATTATTTCATTGATAATTGTGACGTTGCGTTTAACGTGAGATGACATCAGTTTCTGCGCATGCGTGTTGTGACTTTCGGTGCCCTATCACAAATGATATTCAGTGCATGAAAAATTAGTGATGGCACCCTTAACGCTAAATATTCAATGGAATGAGCTGAACTTTTAAAACACAGCAAAGTATTTGTGCACGTAGTATAAAATATTAACCGATGTATATCAATATCGTGCCGCGGCACTTTGCAAAATATTATAAAAACATATACATATAAAAAAATCGGGTGAAATTTTGCGAAAACTCAACTAAGAGCTGCATCTAGTGTTATTATTGCAAGATTTACACATTTTTTTTTCTTTCCCCAGAACCTGTGCTTTAGTCTTAAGGCAAGTAAAGATTGGTGTGACCAAAATAAATCCACGGAGTTTTCTTTTAGTTCTAAACATTGCACAGAAGTAAAATTCCTTGAAACGGTCCCTTTCAGAAAGTGCACCGTGACCTGTGGATCTAATGTCTCCTGCCAGAAATTGAGGTCAAACTTGCGTAATGAAGCAATTAAGATTAAAGTATACATTAATATTGATAAATGCCATATGCACTCTGATATCGTATTTCATCACTTGATTTCGACGTTCAATGCTCTACGAGTCCGAAGCGTTCATCCAAAGCGCATATGTCACATAACGATAGGAATGAATATATGCCTTTCACATAAGATGGGATATATGCCAAATGAAGTCTTTATTAATCGTTCGGTTCGTGGTGCAAGCTGGCAGTTTTGCACCAAAACTTATCGCATGACATAACACATCCCATCTGACAAAGACTGGTTCATAACAATTCTCATCTTTATAAATTGATTTTTTAGCCTCTAATCTGCATTTCATAACTTGGTGGTTCATTTTTTCATGCATCTGCCTGCATCTTTCTCCATTTTAAATAGTCACACCAAGTATAAACAAGCGCTTTGAATAATAAGTAAATAAAGCAATTCTGAAGATATTTATTAGTTTTGAAATGAAAATGATGTTTGGTGGTTATGGTCGCACAGCACGCGCATGGAGATTAACTAATTTTGACATGTTGTCCCCACGATTGCCGACTTGAAATAATCAGAAACATTTCCCAGACTTTTTTCATAAGGTTTATAATTAAGAGTCAAGGAGTAAGAAATGCTGTAAAAACGGAAAATATTCCCCAAAATGTTTAAATCATTTTAATATTGCCTGCGGCTCTAAGCAACTTCTTTGGTTCACGTAAAAAAAGACGATTTCAGAAAAGATTTCAAGAAAGCATTGGTGGCAATAGTTCGTAAAGCAGCTTGTCTTTAAGATGCATATTAAGCGTGTAGTCATGTCGTATAATTCCTACTAGAATGTCATTTAATTCCCAGAAGAAATGCCAACATATCGTTTCAAAATAGTAGAACCAGAAGAAATACCATAGAAGTTCGTTTCAGTATCCCCTTTCGTTTCATATTCCGTTTCGCTGCATACTGGGAATCGGAGAAGTAGGTCAAAATTACGACCTGTTTTGAAGAAAGTACAGTTTAACCACTTTTTTCGGCTGCCATTTTGTATGTGGATTTTATTTGATTTGTTTAGTAGTATTTTCCATTGGCCACAGGGATTATTCAGCTGTACTCTAGCTAGTTACGTATCTTTAAGAGTCTTAAGATGTATTAGTAATAGGTACATCAAAATCTGTGTCACTGCTGGTTTGATATCATTAATATTAACATTTCTAATGTATAACTCTTATCAAAATATTATGTTCTATATGTCATTAAAGCGGTTCAGAGCGTGCAGTGTTAATAACTGATAGTGAAATAGCAATGATGGTATCATGACTGTGCGTTGTCACATTGTGGTTAAAACACCTCGTAGACATTGTCAACTGAGCATCACAGAAAATGGATTTAATCCGCCTGATAATCCGCCGGATAATCCGGTCGTGTGTTGAAGTTGGTTAGGAAAAACAGCTCCAACCTCGGAGGTAATTGTATATGCAGTTGGCTATACAAACAATTTTCCATTTAAAACATTTGCAGAAAGCATGCTTAGAGTTTGTTTGCTTGTTTATTAATTTGTTTCTTTGTCCGTTTGCTTGTTTGATTGATTGCTTGTTTGTTTGTTTGTGCATTTATCTTGTATGGTGCACATGATTGCAGGGGAATTATTAGGGACTTTTGGATAAAAAATTTAACCATTAAGACCCAAAGTACATGTGCAATGCTCATGGGTTGTTAGTGGGTTAAATACTTTAAAACCACCATAGTAAATGCCTCAGCCTCCTCTTTGCTCTTTACCTTATCTAAATCTAGTAGACCTCTACGCCATTTCACTGAATTTTGAATTTGTGTGAGCATTGACAGTGATTTTAATTTTAAAAACCCAACGTGTCATCAGTTCGATCTGTGCTATCTCCCGAAATGATTATGTGTTAATCTAGGTCTTTGACATTCCAGCCTAATTAACGTACCTGCCATTGATCATACTCTTATATTATAGCATGCGTGATCCATACTCGTAGTTACACAGTAAGTATGTCATTTTTTAGATTATAACTGATTATATCCAGGTAGCAGTTCAATATGAACGACACGCGACCTACTGCATATTTCAGTTGTGAAACACACTTTTCAGATCTGTGAGCAACAGTTTGCTTGCGTGACCTTAATGTAGGTGACATGTTAAACTATATAATCAAGTGAACTCATATTATAACCGGGACATATATACTTCATACATAGAGAAATTTTACATCGGTATGTTGTCTCTCATCTGGTTAAATGTTAGTATGAACAAAACGTATACAGAAGACAATATAAATGAATGTGGCATAGTGAACACGTAATACACAAGACAACAAAACGTTCACTTCTTATCTTAATTTCACATATATATATATATATATATATATATATATATATATATATATATATATATATATATATATATATATATTGGCTGACAAAATTAAGATAAGAAATGAACGTATAGATATATATATAATGCGTTGCACCCTTTAACTTAAATCACCAGTGGATCCAAGGTTTAGCTATGCGGGTAGGGGATTATAAATTGGCAAATATAAAAGCAGTAGATGAGGACGTTTTTACTATATAAATCAGTGCAAATGGGGCGGAAACGACCTGGTTTCCCCTCGTTCTGTTCATTAATCCGTTTTTCAAGGGGTTGAGAAACGGGAGAAAGGGGTCACTTTGGAGGCTAAAACCCTATCCCCATAGACACCATCGGTTTAGGTAGATCAATCCAACTTTGTGGAGAATCTTGCTGATTGCAAACAGCTTAACTGATTAACTGATTTATTACCAGCTTCTCTGTATTCTACTCAGTTTCAAGAGGGGACTTGTCAACCACTTAAGCTGATTGCACTCAGCGAGAGTCCCCGCGCAGTTGGTTCGATCTATGAAAACCGATGGTGTCTATGGTAATGGGGCCTTAGGACTACGAACGTGCTGGCCTTGTCCTTTTTTTTGGATCTGCCATTGCACCACCAATTACACATGAAACACATAAGATCACATCACCCATAATTTCACATAAAGACTTACCTTGGAAGTCCTTACGCGCTGCGCTGATGTTGGAGACGATGTTGGCCACGTGACCCAGAACCGAGGCAAACAGGAGCAGAGCACAGATCATCTGCATGATGAGGAAGAAATACTGACCGGAGGTCTGAGGTCGCGTGGACAGCGTCCCCGTCGTGGTCATCATCAGGGTGCTCCAATACAACGCAGACATATACTCTATCCCCGCATCCGGTGACGATCCGTTCTGGGTCCGGAGTTCCCAGAAATCCTGGTGTTTAATGTCTATTTTTACGGCAACGATGTGAAATAGACAAGCGTTCCAGTGGAAGATAGCCAAGAGGTAGTTAAGGAGAGTGATAGTCCGTATAACGTTAGGGTAGTTTGTGTGCCTCTCCGTTCTATCCAAGAATGTCCAGTAGCGGTAGATTTTTACCAGTCGAAAACCACGAAGTAATGAATTAAAATCGATCGAAAGATACAAAAAATCCAGTGGAAGCAAGCAAAGACAGTCAATATAAAACATTGTAGAATTCATATAATGAAGCCGTAACTTTGTCACGTCAGTCTGCAAGACACCTTCGTCCAGAAAACCCGTCCGAAAATGCACCACAATGTCTAGAAGGTATATAAAATCTGCTGTATAATCCAGCGTGAACCACAACGCCATATTGTTCTCATTAATTTCAGCGAAGGCGAACCTGTAGATGGGCACCCAGAAATTGTACAGAAACGCCAGACTTACTATTGAGGACCACCAGTAACACAAACGTCCTGATGGGTCAAATATGAACGTCCACGCACAACCATCTTTGTCACTGGAATTTGTGGACGTTTCCACTTTTTCATATTTCATGCTCCTTTTCCCAAATTTCTCCTCGATTTCTTTTCTCCTTTGTTTCCGGATTGAACGCGGCGTGACAACGTCCTGCGAACGCGAGCGGAGAGAACGGTTTAAGAATGTCACTTCATCCTTCGTACTCTTCCGCTTAATGCGGTCAAATTTACTGGTTACAACGTCTATTAGACTTTGCTTGGAGGGAGTACGAGACTTTTGAGCCACTCCCGGGGGCGTCATGGGGTGCTTACCAGAGTATATGGGAGAGGCATCTAGGGACCTGCCTTTACTCCCGCTCAGACGCTCCCCTATAAGTTTAGTCCTGTCATGGGGCGAACTGCGAGGGTACGTGGGCCCAGGGAGCGTGTGAGGCCCATTGAGAGCAATCGTCTCTTCCTTTCTACCGTCTTTACTGACCACGGCGATCTGCTCGAGCTCGTGGTCACTGCTGTCCGTGTGGTCTCCTTGGCCACAGGGGGTGTACTTGACCGTGCGCTCGGCCTCGGTTGCGTTGTTCCGCCTCGAGACCATCATAAGGCGCTTGATGAAAATCCCGTGTATTACCACCTGGAAGGGGTCCGAAAGAAAGTAAAATGGGAACCGGGTATCCTTCACGCGCGCCAGCGAGAACCGGGGGACGAGACACTTTGCTGGTGGGGGTGGGGTAACTTGTGTGATGTTGGTGCGGAACTAATCGTCTCCCTGTCCTCATCGGGCTGCCAGAATGCTCCTGGAAACTACCAGTGGCGCCCGTCCTTCAAATGCGTGCTAAGACACGCTACCGCAACCACATCCCTTTTTGTGTAATTACCCAGACTGCAAAAAAATCGTCCACAATATTTCAATTTCCTTCTATTTGCAGTTAATATTGACTGATAACACCTGTTGGAATTGCTTTTAACTTACGTGCCTGCGGTTGAAATCCCAAGTTTACTTTTTGTGCAATTTTTACTGTCGATTCCAATAGCTGTCAGTTGGCATTCCAACTACCAGAGTCAGCCAAGCTGCTCCAAGTCGAACGTTTTCAAGCGCGGCTTGCTATCAGTATCTTATATCTTCGCCTTTGATGTCAAATAATCACTAATGTTTATAAGGGTATGTTGGGGTTAGAAAATAAGCACCGGCTTTTGTATGGTGTTCCCTTCTCTCAATAGATGGAGCTGCTGCATGACAAATCCCAGAGAAACACTCTTGGGAGAGCGCGTTTGATTGCCTCTCTAAGCGGTTTGCCAAATTAAATTCCAGATCCTTCCTCTCCTTTTTGTGTGCTATCTCGAACTTAGTATTTCAGCTTAAATTGCTCTTCCTTTTTAATGAAAGTGTATTAAAGTGACTTCATACCCTTTAATTGGTAAGCCGATCTATTCTTGTGCCCCGGCCTTTGATTGGTGGAATATTTTCCAACAAGTTATACAATAGGGGCTTACTCAGACCGTGCTCTTTGTACTGGAAGATCAAGCAAGACACCCACTCACCATTACTGTGAACATTCCCACATCCAATGGAACTTTACCATGTGACCTATTCCTCTCAAATTATTGATTGAATATTCACGTAATTAACTTCTTCCTATTTAAGGGATATATGCATTTTTTAATGCCCGGCTGAATTATACGTTAAGGTTAAGTTCTCGCCTCTTCCGATACTTAAAACAAGACGTTTATCTCACCTCTTTTCCTCACACGTCGGTACTCTGCTCGTAAATCGTTACCATCCCGGCAAGAAGTGGGCGAATCACATCCGTCAAAAACGCCTGGAAAGATATAGTTTCTCGTTTCCCTATATGATATGTCACTGCTAACTTTGACGGGTGATTTGGTCGGATGGTCTTCCAACGTGCTTCTGACAAATCAATAGCATCAGCGTATTTTTTTTACTACGGAGTGCAAAAAGGCAAGCGCCGCTAGAGGACGTCAATATAGGAATAACTTAACGTATCAAGCCAACGTTTTTAACGCGGGAATGAAATCCCCGCGACAGTAATTTTGGTCGGCGATCACTACGACGCCTCGGCAGGTTTTATGATGAACACGTTAAAATGTGCTACTAAGGCCACACCACAATGTTCCTCCCTGTATTGGGAGCGGTCCTCAACAGTCGATACTCTGTGTCTTTTTTATCGAATCCCCTTCAGTAGTATACAGCAGCGTGAATGGCAACCGGATACTGCTCTACGGCGATCTCTGTGATCCAAAGCGATGTCGTTAATGCGTGGAAATTGAAATATTCCTAATAGTGTTGTTTTAACCAAGCATTCCTGCAAAGAGCAACAGACTTTGAAGAACACTCACTATTTAATTCATCAACACCAGCATTTTCTGAGGTGAAGGCGTAATTACCATAGTGTAACAAACACCACTTGACGATTATTCTGAGAGACCTGATTACAAGTGCAACTCACCTGAGATGTCCTTAACTCACACCAGATGGCCTTCGATTAAGGGATTGACAAGAAAAGCTTCCGTTCTGTAGCATGCTGCTCTGTTGTGTGCGCTTCCGTTCGCGCTTTCGTCCTCGTCGTACATTGTATCTGCGTTAATGCCCAAGGCAAATCGGCTGTATGCGGGAAACAAGACGAGTTGTTCCTTTGAACGCTGCACAATCGATTGTAGCGTAGTTGGTATTCTCCGTGCGTATTGCGGACGCCGGCAGCTGTCAAGCAATCTCGAGCAGGGGGCAGTGTCCTGTCGTTTGTTGCTCTCGTTTACAGACGTCGTCTGCTTGCTGATGGCCGTCCCCTTAAATTGGAGTCGTCTGCGGCCGTCGTAAAGTAGAGATGTTCGACTGATTATAGTGATCTTTTACGAGTAGTTTAAGAGCACAGACATCGTTTTCCTGTTCTATTTTTGTGGAGTGATTTGTCTGGCATCCACTAGTTTCTACAAAGCTGGCCTGACATTGACTGACTACACCGATCCACTGCCTGCTACGATCGTCTTTGTCGATTGTTTGAAAAGTATTCACCTTCCTTTTTACAGTCCACTTTCACTTATTTGTCGATTGAAATTACTAGTATACATCTAGGATATGCCCGAACGTTCTTTGGCCGACTTTTGATTTTTGCTGCCGTCTGCTTTTGTTGATCTGTTGTGCACGGCGTTTCGCTTCCGTCAATCGTTTGAAAAGGTGTCTTGTTTCAGTTATATCTTTATCTTCAAGTATTAATTCACTGCTCATTTGAAAGTCACGTCTGCTTTTTGTCATGAAGCCGGTGGTCTGCGACTGTCGTCTGCGACGCTAAGCTAAGGACAGTGACGCTAAGGATAGTCACGCAAAAGACTCGTATTCCCTTCGAATGATATTCCTTAATACTCTTCAATGTAGGAGCTCACTGACCTTTTATTGACCTTTTAATTGGCCTTGACCTTTAACTGATCCTTTTCATTAAGTTTTATTCATCAGACATTAACTGCAGTAACGGGTGACAGAAGCGTTGTTTACTTTTGCTGTAATACAAGAATCAATAAGCAACCCGGCCAGTTTTATGAGAAAGATACAACTTCTTGGCCATTACGACAATAATTCAAAACAATTGTCCAGACGGTTGCTTCCGATGTCCTATATCTGATCTTTATGCGTTCGTAAACACTTTTATGCGAATGTATGACCGTAGACGGCTTCATGTAAAGCTATACGTCGTGTGGTATGTTTGGCTCTGCGTATGTCCAGCAATGGAAATGGTTCAACTAAAAGTCCCTTGATAACAAGTCAATTCCAAGTAATATTGATATATGTATATATCCTCAGAATTCACATTTGTCGACCGTCTGTCACAACCGTGTTTTATCCCCGTTCTTTTATCTTCATTTATTCGAGATAAACCAACAAGTTTCTTCAGCAGAAATTATGTCACTCGTCAGAATATAGAACAAATTCTTCTCTTAGGGCTTATTCCACGGATTTCGTTCTAAGAACACCGTAGTAGTTTTAATTAATCACTTTCCTTATTTAGCATTCGCTGACGCCTTTATGCAAGCCAAATTGGCAAAGATGTAGGTAAGGCGTCACGAAATAAGCTCTGATTTTTTTTACAGCTTCAAATCTAAATTTCCTATGGCAGATATGTATATAATCCCAAGATATAACGTGACGTCACAGTAGCTTTTTGTCACTATCTAGTGTAAACAAGCACAGTAAAGCGCACAGCTCTCGACTGCTACGTCTCCGTTGTCAACTAAAGGAACTGGGGACCTTAGAGTCAATTATAAAACCATTCCTAGGAATGAAAGTTCTGCGTTATGTGTTGTTTAATCCTCCTTAATTCTATTAATGCGAAGCTCACAAAACGCTCCCGTCGTTTGTCGAGTAATCTGAAATAAAGCGATTAGTTCGTTAGTGATTTTACACGTAACCAGTATTCATGAATTGATATATTGAGGGATTTTGGTCGCACCGACAGGTACGTCAATACGACTGCTATGGCGAACCCAGTATTTTGCAACAAAGCTCACGAGTACCAATACATAAATACGAAAAAGTAAACAAAGACAACATTATATTATTTCATGGTGTGTTGGAGTGATAACATTGAAGGGGCTGAACCCCCCCCCCCCCAACGTGCCCCCCCCCTACACCCCCTGTCCACCGTTATATTGCCAATACACTGCTCATTACAATATAGTTGAAAAGGACTGACGTGTAATGGTTCAAAGCTATACAAATAGTTTCCACAGTACACATTTTATATTCAACGACAGTTAAAATGAACTGAAATAAAGAAGTAGAAGCAGAGGAAAAGCAACAACAACAACTACAATAATTTAACATATATAGGACTACCGGTATCATTTACACAAATATACACATCATCCAACTTTCTGATGCATTGAAATAAACCATAACAGTAAGAGCAATAATTCATAAGTTCTATTGGATGTATGCTCTCTTTCCTTCTGTGACAGACCTAACAATAGCTACAAGAACACAATGCGGGTTGTTTTGAGTCTTTTGCAAATATACTTTATGTCTAAGTATTCGATGAGAGTAAACTGATTGCGTCATTATCACAATGTTGAGCTGTGTAACAGACATAGTTACAAATCCTTTGCCATATAAATTGGATCAGTAGTGTAAGGCCGCATTCAGAACAGTGGACTAACTAGTCCGCGGCTCAAATATGGCGACACACTTAAAAGGTTGCCGTCTAATCTGCTAATAGACACTGAATAGATATCCCGTGGGGAAGTATTCAAGTGGGTCGGCCATATTTGACCCTCGGACTAGTTAGTCCACTGTTCTGAATGCGACCTAATACTGAATGTATTCCAGCTCCGAATAAAAGTATGCAAGGCCGTTGACCTCATTTAGTTCTGGACCCTTTCTAACGAGTAAAGTAAATTTCTTTAATCAAGAGCTAATATTGAAATTGTTTACGTCCAATATTCCGATGTCTGCCCAGGGTATCTTCATCAGGCAATGAGGCTTTCCAGGTGAATAGCCTCTATTCAGGAGATATACTTGGAGGTAAACATGTTCAATATTAGATGTAGATTGAACAAAATCACTTTACCCTTATAACACGACACAACTAATGAAATTTTTCTCTGGGTCCTTTCTTGTCTCATCATACATTGAAGACTTGGACTAATGCAATTAACAGGCCCAGTTTAACAAGTACTGACCAAGGACCAAAGGGTTTATGATTGTGTCCAACAACCCTGCCCCCCCCCCCCTCTGACGAACTGCTCCTTCCATTTTTACTGTAAAACTATACCGCTACTGATAACATAAAACAGTCCTACCTGTGAATCGCCCACTACGTTCATTGTTATCAAGATGTAGCCCCATTATTTGAATTACCTGTAGGTTGTCCTTTTGAAGTGCTGAGTAAATGTACAGATTAAATGAAGCCGTGTTTTTAGGGCACGGTATTAAGTCTCTAACAACCCACATTAAAGATTTATCCAATGACTTCATGGTATGTGTCAGTTAAAGACGGGTGTCACATGGTTATGTGTGTGTGTATGTGTGTGTGTGTGTGTGTGCTTGTGGAGGTGGTAAATGCTCGTGTGTGCTTTGCGTGAGTTCGCGTGCAAGAGAGCGCCCGTGCGTCTGCACTCGCCTTTATGTACGAAGGGAAAAAGAAAAAAAGAGAGATTACGTTTAATATACGGGAGACTGAAATGTAAACAAAAAATGGAGTTTTGCAGAGAAGGAAAACATCTTGATTGAAAAGGAAGAACAGTTAACTGTACCAACATAAAGAGACACACCTTTTCCGTAACTGTTCCATACAGTTTCACTGGCCTGGGTCCGTTTACTCACAAAAGGAGGAGCGGAAGACGGAATAAATATTGTAATCAGATCGAGGGCCTTACGTCTTCCATACAGTACATGCCTTATGAAATTGACTTCAGAGAAACTACATGCAGTTTCCTAGAAAGTTTATCCAGGAAATGAGAATACCAATAAAAATATATCAAGAATTTCATTCAGTTCGGAAATGAGTGCCGAAAATAAACTATATATTTCCTCTCCTATTCTGTATATCGTTGAGGAAATAAGCAATTATCGTAAGACTGCCTTGTATAAGACATCTTACGTGGAAAGCGTCTTCTCAGAACCAGCCCACAGTATATATACACTGGTATATACACTGGTCGCCTTTCTGCTACCGATTCTTGAATTACTTTGTAACGACAACATTTTTGGGCTCATAAAGTACTGATAGGAGCGAAGAAATAGGGTGGAAAAAGTAGAAAATCAAAATATAGAGAACAAGAGCACTATTGCGAATAGACCGTTTAGCATAAAAGAATACCGTATATTAGACAAAATACGTTGCAAAATGGCGGTAAAAAAAACTTTATATTAGGCATCCCATGCCCATTATTTACCCCCATAACGTCAAGTGTGTTTTCGTTTCTGTGCATCACATAATCGTATATAATTCAAATATGATCGTTTTTAAACATACACGTAATTCAGACGAAATGCACATTATATGTCATTAAATACATCGCATTTGCAAAACAGTTTTGAATATATGTGCCTACATTGAACCCCTATTCAATGAAGAGGTTATATACGAGCAATTCAAATGCACTGCGTGTGGGATTTTCATAATGATGCCAGTTGATGCCTTACAGTTTAGAGAAAATTATACCATTATCCTTATAATGTCACCAGGTAATAACGTAGAAGTTAGATCAAATTATGTTATTTTCTTAGTCCAAATGACATGAGATGAAGATAGCCCGGCACGTATGAGTCAGTTGGTATAAAAAAATGCATGCATACACAATGTCTGCTGTTCATTTTATAAAGAAAATTTAAGATAGATCAAAGTATAAATGATTACTTGAGAATTCAAATAAATAGATAAATAAATAAATAAATAAATAAATAAATAAATAAATAATACAGACTGCACTCTCGCATTGTTTGCTCAAATATATTTTGATATAATAGCATTCCCATTTTTATACACGTACCAACAGGACATTAAGCTTTAAATGGTAATTCATGAGGTTTTTGACCGATCTTCTTTTGAATTGTGATGGATTTGTTGCAAAATTCTGATAACTTGAGTATCCTTTGCGTCGTCGGCATGCACGACATGCTATTTAAAAGACGCGTACTGGTATATAAACGTGTAATAAGACAGTATAAACATTTTCTGGTCCTACTGCAACCACAATTGACTTTAATCCTCAAATATGGTGTTCGTGGAACAAAAAGGCTAGATGCAACAGGGTGAGAGGTACAGGTGTACAAAAAACTAGATGTGGCCCCCTTCGCACAAACGTTGATAAGAATATTAATGTTATATGTACATGTACATGTATGTATGACGATGCCATGCATGTAGCACGCAGACCCTACGGAGAAGTGTAATTAATTAATTAATGACGCACCTATTCGTGCCAATGCTAGTATTCACTAAGACATCAAGCAGAGAATGTTGAGTTCCAAAACAGACACGAAACTGACAGGTGCTTGTTAATGACAGAGTAGCAGCTTCCGGTTCCTGTCCAGCACCGTCACGCTCTCCCACTACAGTATCCCACGCCATCAACCAATCAAAAGGATGAATACATACATGTATAGGAGATAAACAATCACTCGTCCGCTGAGCACATATTGCTTACGTGTGCTCTATCATGATACCGTAGACTGCTCGGACGAGATCCCCTTTTGACCCGGAAACCGGGCCAAGTCGCGTAAGCGAGGTAACAGATGTTACTAGACTAATCTAAACATCAAACGACACTAACAACTGGTGAAGAAAATGTAAAAGGAACTCTTGCACGATAACATATTGCCCATGTCAAGGGCTATTCCTAGAGATCTTCTACATGTATTTCTGAATTTCTAATACTATCCCGGGGTCTTTTTTTTAACAGATTTACAAATTATATAAAAATTTAACTTTTAAAGACCATTCCTTTTTTCGCCTAACCAGAGTTGTCCCAGTGATTCGTTCTCTTTTAGTTCTCATAAGAACCAAATTTTTTCGTTGAAGTAGATTTTTTTAAAAAGATGTGGCTCACCTAGATCTGCCGTCATCAACTCAAACAACAAGAGAATGTTACAGAAAATGTCATTCACCTATACTGTACCTTGCAATAAACATACAATGACGCCATCACGTCAAAAACGAAATCTCGATCGTTCTAGTCTGACCACACCCACTAACAAAACCGCAAAACATCGTCCCCGGGAACGCTTTAAACAGCCTTAATGACGTTTAATGAAAAGTGATAGATATTGAGCGGCAGCGAAGAATGGATCGTAAGCGTGCATCTCGGAAGACGTAATCTCCTCACGGCCCAGGCCCCGTGGGGCGGAAACACGGCCTCAAATGTGATAGACAAGAGAGCTCCTGTTGTTCAGCACGATCGATATTTAGTCAAGGTAGAGAGAGAGAGAGAGAGAGAGAGAGAGAGAGAGAGAGAGAGCCGAAGGAGGGTTCAGACTTTCATAAAACAGGAACGAATGTTTGTGATCCTGAATTGGCGATACGGGGGTTGGGGGCAAGGATCACACCTGTCAATTATTCTATTGGAATTCTATTTCGACAGGGAACTTGTAGCCAGACTTTATATTGAGGGTGTAAGTAGTCTCATTCCTTGTAGAGTATATTGAAATTTTACCAAAATATTCGGCTCAATAAAAACAAGAGCTGTTTATTGAAAAATAACACTTCCAGACGTTATACTGGTACTCTACAGGCACATAAGGGTTTTGACAAACAGGCTTTGGGAAATAAATAGTCTGATTTCAGTCTAAATATAGATCTAAATCCACAATCAACATTGTAGTTAGACAGCCCTCATGAATATAACCACATATTTAATGTCCGATAAAT